CGGTGGCGTCATCGGGCCGGAGGATCCCCTCCCCTCCCCCCCCCCGCCCCGAGGCGGACATCTTCGAGCGGGCCATCATCGCGCGCATTGCGCGGGAGGAGGAGCAGCAGCGCCGACGATCCCTTGCCGACCTCGACAACGTCCTCCTCGAGCAGGGGCTCGCGAAGGAGTTCGTCGACAACCAAGACGCATGGCGCCGCGAGAAGCAGGCGCAAGACGACATCTACGCCGACCTCGTCTCCGACGACAACGACTGAGGATGTCCGCCGACTCAGCGTCGCCACCGCACCCGGATGGCTCCGGGTGAGCCAACTTTTGGCTGTAGGGTTATGGTGGCGGCCTATCCTCCTAGCTATTTTGTGTAATTTAGTGTATGTATGAAGTATGTATGATGATCAAGAACTATGAACTTGGTCAATTTCTCCTGTAAAGTCTTGAATTCAAAATTTACAGTTCTATTTGCGGTTTATGTTCGTTCGCGAATGTTTTCAGTTCGTAACCGAGGCAACGAGCAAACTGTAAACTAAATTTACAGGCCCACGTTTTGAGGGTCTGCTAGAGATGCTCTTACCTCTCCCGGCTCAAACTACTACTCCGCTAAACAGGGAAGACAGTGAAGGAACAACAATTGGAAGGAAATGAGTATTGCTGGAAAATAGTACTACTAGAGATTGTTGGCGCCGCCTCCTCGCAGCGCCGCTTCCTCTTCTACCCCGAGCTGCCTCGCACAACTCTTTTGAGGTCTCTCTCTTCTCTCTACACACACACGGTGCGAAGACTCAACACACACACGCCATACACCAAGGAAGAAGACACAATAGCTTTGCCCCAAGCACTTCCTTGGTGACCACCTTGGCTACATGTTTTTCTCTAGCCCTCTCGGCTTCAACTCAAACAACAAGCTTTACATCTCTTATATAGAGACTCACGCGCACACACAGCCACGGCCACACCGGCCACTAACCCACGCACGCACCACTAACTAATCCCTAGCTACATGCACTACATGCACGCCCACGTCCAGACTACACGGCCAAGCCGTTCAACTAACCGACTGCATGCAACCTGACCAATTCTCCTGGCTCCAACTTGATCTATCCAGCCAGCCGGTTTGGCTTCATCCTGCACGCGTCTCGCCGCTTCCCACGGCTATACCACCCCGGCATCAAGCCTTGCGCCGTATCACACGGCACCGCGCCTTCACGCCGTCATCGGCAGCCCGGCATCTCGCGGTCTCCGCATGCCTCCGCTGAAACTTCACCGGACTAGCTACTCTCTAACCTATGCAACATGCATAACAAAAGCAAACTAAATATGCAGATACATGAATCAAGATTAAACCTAACATTTTCCCTCCTAATCTTGATTCTCCAATCTTCACGCGGTTCACCCGCTGCCACTTGACGACACAATCGCGGCGCTGCACACCTTGCCTGGACCGACGCCATCGCAGCGCCCGCGTCCATCACCATGTACCCTTGCCGCACGCAGCGGCCACCTCTTGACGTGGACGACGCTGTCGCAGCGCCGATCACCACGCCGTCTTCGCCAAGCGGCATCGCACCGCAACTTTTGTTGGCTTCACACCAACTTTCCATGATGACGATGGCATCACACCACCGTCGTCGGCATCACGCCGACTCTTCTTGTGGCAGCTTCGCACCGCCATCTTCACATAGCGGCACCGCATAGCCACCATCCTCCTTCTTGCGCCGTCGGCCTCCATCTCGCATGAAGTCCGTCGCGCCACAACCGACTCGGATCGACAAGGCTCTGAATACCAAATGTTGGCGCCGCCTCCTCGCAGCGCCGCTTCCTCTTCTACCCCGAGCTGCCTCGCACAACTCTTTTGAGGTCTCTCTCTTCTCTCTACACACACACGGTGCGAAGACTCAACACACACACGCCATACACCAAGGAAGAAGACACAATAGCTTTGCCCCAAGCACTTCCTTGGTGACCACCTTGGCTACATGTTTTTCTCTAGCCCTCTCGGCTTCAACTCAAACAACAAGCTTTACATCTCTTATATAGAGACTCACGCGCACACACAGCCACGGCCACACCGGCCACTAACCCACGCACGCACCACTAACTAATCCCTAGCTACATGCACTACATGCACGCCCACGTCCAGACTACACGGCCAAGCCGTTCAACTAACCGACTGCATGCAACCTGACCAATTCTCCTGGCTCCAACTTGATCTATCCAGCCAGCCGGTTTGGCTTCATCCTGCACGCGTCTCGCCGCTTCCCACGGCTATACCACCCCGGCATCAAGCCTTGCGCCGTATCACACGGCACCGCGCCTTCACGCCGTCATCGGCAGCCCGGCATCTCGCGGTCTCCGCATGCCTCCGCTGAAACTTCACCGGACTAGCTACTCTCTAACCTATGCAACATGCATAACAAAAGCAAACTAAATATGCAGATACATGAATCAAGATTAAACCTAACAGAGATTACAAAGAACAAACGGAGCTTAGCAGTTCAAACAAGAGAAATGATGAGCAGAGGTAAACAAATGAATGTTAGTACCACCAGCAGAAGATGAACTATCTCGTTTGCCATTGTTTTGCTTCCATCTTCATCAATGTGAAGGATTTTTTCAGTCCACGGTGGCACGAATGGGTAGCCCCTTAATCATTGGACGGTCGTTTTAGAGCATTGCACGTCAGCTGCGTCTACATAAAATCTTTCACGAGACATCTTAGCACAATATACAGTCTTTTAGGAACATGCAACACAACATTACAGTCTTTCAGGAACATGCATTAAAACGAACCAGTTTTGGGGCAAAAGCTTGAGGAAATGGTCAATTGGTGAACATCTTAGCACTGCCTGACATCTAACCACAAATAAGCCTTAATTACATGAAGCATTGCAGCCCACAGTTGTTAATAACATGCATCAAGAAAGAGCTAAGCTCTTCCAAAGTGTGGTTAGGCCACTGTATTATCTCGTCTTCGGTGATGAACAACCACAGATAAACTGGCAGATGTCCCTGTTCCCGCTGTTGTGACCAGTCGTTCTTCATTCCTCTAGAGATCCCCCAGCTCTTCACCAGCTGAAATGCTCCAAGAGGTTCCTTCTGAATTCCTGAAATAGTAGGGTTGGTGGCATAGTTATCAATTTGTCATTACAAGACCAAAAGCATAAGGTTCCCACCGTCTCATTGTATGATCCTACAACCCAACAACATTGCTACGAACATGAGCTTGTTCAAAGTCGAGGGCCCAAATTCCAACCCCAAGACATACTGATTGTTAGTAGTTGTTGTTTAATGGGGCTGACGAGTTAACCCCTCAATCGAATTTGACGAATACATTAGCAAAATGAAGGTCGTTCCTGGTGTCTTAATGGAAGGAAAAGAATATGACATGGTTATCAATTTGTAATTACAAGACCAAAAGCATAACGTTGGCACTGGCTCATTGTATGATCCTACATGTTTACCCAACAACATTGCTACGAACATGAGCTTGTCGAAAGTCCAGTGCCCAAATTCCACCCGAAAATATACTGATTGTTAGTAGTTGTTGTTAAATGGGGCTGAAGAGTTAACCTCTCAATCAAATTTGACGGACACATTAGCAAAAGGAAGGTCGTTGCCCTTTTCTTGATGGAAGGAAATTAATATGACATGTTCGGCTTGGGTGGTAGCCTTATTATTCGTGGACCTTCCCAACAATTCAAAAACTGTTATAGAATAAACCACGATATGTGTATGCAGTATGCTCATATTGATCACATATAATCTGTTATGTCTGAACAAAGCATCAGATATACGAGTATATTTTAGCATTAATTTATTAAAATATCGCTGAAACTATTGATACTGACCAGAAGGTGGACATTTGACATAGTTAGGGTGGAAAGACATAGCTGTTCAACCATTGTGATAATCGGAAGAACAATGGATATGCCAGTGGCCATGATAGGATTACATCGCCGTGCAATATGACTGAGTTGACCAGATGCACTGAACTGCAAATGCTTACAGGAGATAATTGTTCAGATCTTTTTTTTTTTAACAGGAATGCTCAGTACATATTTGTTACTGCTGAACATCACCTTGTTATAGGCAAGTATAATTGGTAATTCTCCAGCCCACCATATGATTTCCTAAAGGAAAAGACCATTGAAGTTGGCTCTGTCTGGTTTCTGAAGGACGCAAATTGTAAAATTCTAACTTGTATATGGCTGCAAGGAAAATGAAAGCTGCTCTTCCAAACATAACCAAGTCCTATATAACTATGCTTGAAGACATTGGCTTTTTAGGACTGCATAACAGGGAAGAAAAGATCAGCTTTAGAAAAACAGAGACAAACATCCAAGGTAGGTACTGTTTGGCCCCATACTCAAATGGCATCCCAGTCTGCTAAGCAACAATGTCCTTAAAATCACAAATATTTTTTCTTGGACAAGAAAAGGCACTTGCTGTTAGCTGCTCCCTCCGTTTCAAAACTGAAGTTCAAGGATTGTCCTAAGTGAAACTTTTTGAAGTTTGAGAAAGTCTATAGAAAAATCTGCTAAGATCCACAATGTTAAATATATATTATATAATAATACATATCATAATGAATCTAACGAAGCAAATTTGGTGTTGTAGATGTTGATATATTTTTATATAGACTTGGTCAAAGTTAATGAAGTTTGACTTGGGACAAACCTATAACTTCAATTATTTTGGAACAGAGGGAGTATATTCCATTTTTCAATCTCCAAATCGTAGCTGCAGGAAAAAGAAAAGCAAAATATGAGGAAATGGTATAAACATATTGTTCTGTGGGGTGACAAAATGACATAAAAGAGCTGTGTAAAGATCTTGGTAAAAGAAAGCTTCTTAATAATGTAGGCATTGTAATTCCCTAAATTCTGGAATGTGCGTTCAACACGATGCATCAATTTTCACATACCTGCTGAACCATCAGAGAGCATCCATTCTCTCAAGTCACTAGCTTTGCTTCATTCAGGTGCACTAAGAATCAATTGAGCCTACAAGACATCATTAAGAGAGTTCAGTTCCTTCTTCTCCCTCACTTTCCTCATCCAGTTACCACAATATTTGAAGCTTTCTCTGCTCCTCCTTGGTGGCAATGCAGCCCTCATCATGGTGGTATACTCCTCCCTGATAGCAACAAGTGGATGTGCATGCTTCTCAAGCAGCTGGCTCGTGCCACCGTAAGCTTCCCTGAGTACAACTGTCTGTGTGCCATGTATCCTTGAGAGGTAAAAAATGCCCGGGTGACGCTCAAATACCTTGGTAAACTTCTGTGGCATGCCAAGAAGCTTCCTCATGTTGCTCACGTTGTGGCGCTCTGTCCTCTTTGCCAATGTGAGGTGCAGCAGTTCATGGAACACTCCCACATTCCGCTTCTCTGACACATCAGTGCGACGGTCAAGGCCGGAGGCGTCGGTGTATGGGTTAGTGTATGGAAGCTTCTGCCACTCCTTCAGCCAGTCCATAGACTTGCTCCTCAGGCCAAACCCCCTCGTGAAGCTCACCGGAAATGGGAGGCAGGTGGTGTCGCCGCCCGCCGCAGCCTTCTCGAGTTCCGAGACAGCCAGACGGTCGTCCCAGGAGAGGAGGTGGAGCCAGATGCGCTCGTCACCCTCGGGCTGCTTGAGGGCGAAGTGGTCAGGCTGGCGACTGAGGATCGAGGCGCGGTAGTCGCGGGGCAGGCCCAAGTCCCAGCGGAGAAGGTCGACAGTGTGGAGCGGGAGCGAGCGCGACAGGGTGAGCATGAGGAGGCGGCGGAGGCAAGCGAGCAGGTCGGGCTCCGAGGCGTCCAGGCAGTCCAGTTCCCGGCACCGGAGGCCGAGCGCCGCGTCCGTGAGGGACACACCGCCTCCACCGCGGCGGGAGAGCACGAACAGGGTGTGGTATCTGCGGAGGAAGGCGAGCGCGGCGTCCGCGGAGCCAAACATCTTGTGGACGGACTTGTCGGCGAGGAGCTCGGGGCACGAGATACGGTGGCCGGGCCGCGAGGACACGAGGTCGAGCAGGTGGTGGGCAGCGCGGAGGTGGCGCTGGCGCGACAGCGCCCCGTCGAGTGCCGGATCCTTGACCAGCTTGAGCTTCACGTTAACCAGCGTCGCGCGCTGCTCCGCCGCAAACAATGGCGCTTCCCACCATCTTCTCCTCCTCCCCGTCACCGCCACCAGCAAGTGCCCCGCCATGGAACGAAACTCGCCGCTGCCCAGGTGCTCGCTTTCGCGGACCGCGACGCTCGCCCGCCGTCACCGTACTGGGAGGCCGAGAAGAAAGGAGACAAGGAGGACTATGAGGAAACCTAGCAGCGTAAAGGCGGCGGCGGTGGCGGCCGGTGCGGTCGTGAGGCAGGAGCGCGCTCTGTTTCCCCCCTCTGTCTCTCGGGGGAGCACGGCTGCCCGCTCCTCTATTGTTTTTTTTTTCTTCTAAGAAAAGACATCCAAAGGCATTTTGTCTGATAATTACTCCTCTTTAAAAATATACGGAAATGTTAACGCCCACCCGTGTGGGCGTTTGTACGTCGCCCACACGCCTCCATCACCACTCATTTTGCCACGTATAAATAGATGACATCAGCAAAAAAAAATTTGGTTTTCGGCTTAAAAATGTTGTATCTCCTAAATAAAAAAGCGAACTAAAAATCCGTTTTCACCAATAAATTCGTCTCGACGAGATCTTCAAAACTAGACCCCATGTTGATATGTTTCGACGAATTTTTTTTTGCTAGAAGTTGCCACGATGTTTACACTGCAGTTGCCATAGGGCTTAAACTAAAGTTGCCATGTGGCAGTTTTAGTTTGTAGATCATAGCAATTTTAGTATTTTGATGATGGCAACTCCAGTATTTTGACCATGAAAATTATTTTTTGTATGAATCATGGCAATTTTACGTGCATGTATCATGGCAATTTTAGTTTATGGTTCATGGCAAGTCTAGTTTCTTAATTCCCCGTTTTATAAATGTCAAAATTTACTTTTAAATGTAGAAGAAAATAGCTGAAACATATCATGGCAACTTCAGTGTAAACATCATGGCAATTCATATGCAATAGACATGGCAACTTTTAATCCAAAATAAATTTCATCAAAACATATCAACATGGGATCTAGTTTCGAAGATCTCATCGCGAGAGATTTAATGGTGAAAACGGATTTTCAATCGGATTTTTCGTTTAAGAGATAAAACATTTTAAAAACTGAAAATCCAAAAAGATTCCTGCATGCATGCATGCGATGACGTGGCAATCTGTTTACATTAGAGACGTGTGGTGCGTCTTCCTCCCTGCCACACGTGTGGCAGTTAGCGCGACCCAAAATATAAGACCGTGTGGATCGCTAAAATAATGATCTAAACAATCCTATAGGATGTGTTTGATAGAGTGAATGAGCTTAAAAGTTCCCTCGTCGACTCACTTTTAGGTGTTTGATAGCCTGCACGGGGCCTCCTCGGCATGCACGAGCTCAGTCCAAATACCTTCTTAGGGCATGACCGATGCACAACCTTATGATGATGCCCCATGTGCCATGTAGGATAGGATGTCAGCGAAAATAGGTTCGAATAGGAAAGTGAAATCCTCTGCAAGAGGCGCGTGCTTGGGGAGAAAAAGTGTGGTCTGTTGTAAAAAGCTGAAGAAGTTGAAGTGAAGAGTAGAGATGCATATGTATTAAAGTTTCTATTTTTTATTTCCTAATGAGGCCTATTAGTAGTAGATTGCGTTAGGGAGAAAAAAATTAATGTCGTTGCCTCAATCTATTTTTTCTCATCGGGCATCTGTTGTTCTTTGTATTGCCATGATTGAAATGCATAGATTGGAAGTTTCTAAAAGAAGGCATGTATACATCTCATAATTGCCAAAGTCAATGGACAGACAATTAAACGCAGAACGTCGATAGTATGAGATTAAAAATTGCACTGAAACAACAGTCAAAGAAAGGAACACCTATAAACGCCCTCGTTATATCAGATTTTAAAGACCACAATAGTCACTCGTCCCTTAAAACAAGATCTAAAAATCATTGAAGCGAGATTTACTGGAGTATCACCCCATACATGCCTCCAATCCATCACCATGAGTCATGGGGTTGAAGGAACCGAACCATCCCGCAGAACACCACACAAGATGATTCTTTTTTCCATGAATATGCAAATCTTGCGTATCATTTCATTGATAGAAGAAGTTTAGAACTAGTACAAGAGGTGGTAGAACACATGAGACGAATGTAGAAGGCGTGAGCATGGTGCACGAAGTAGAGAGACAAGAGATGCCCGGCCCAAACAGAGAAACAACACAGCAAAACTCGCAGCCCTGAGAAGCAGCCCATGTTGGGAAACGTAGGAGAAAAAAAAATTCTCCCTACGATCACCCAGAAACAATATGAAGACGCATAACTGGTTGTAATCAACGATCGTTACCGACTCCGGGAGTGTAGAGGAAGTAGACGAGTCGGTGTAGATTGTACTTGGAGTCCCTCGAATGTAGATGACGATCCCGCGAACCGCCCACGAACGATCCCTCAACGGAAGACCGAAAGCACAACCTCTCTAATTGGTTGCAAGCATACGGTCTTCACGATCCGGCAATGCTTCACCTCCCAAAGCTAATCTCTACTCTAGTATATATAGATTGGGAGGGGAGGAGGGGGCGCCACACAAGGAACAAAGTTTCCCCCTTGTGGCCGGCCATGGGGAGGGGGAATCCCCCTCCAATTCGGCAACCTCTCCCCTTTCCATGGGGAGAAGGGGGCACAGCCCCTATTGGGACTTTATGGCCCAAGTGGGTTTCCACCACGTGGCCTTATTAGGCCCGTTGATATTAAATTAAATATATAATTATTATAAGAATTTTCAGAGCATTATATATATTTCCACTTGAGAGCCTGGGGGAAAATGTTCGCCTACATAAAAAGAGGGATACAGTGCGCCAATCATAGGACTTTTGTTACGCATTGTGAGAACCACCCACCCACTCGCAGTAGGCACCCTTATTTATGGAACGAGAACCCTTCTATATATCGTAGACCGGAGGCCTATTGCACCCGGGGGCGCTCTCTTATTGGTCAATGGGAACCCTAACATTGCAAGGTTAGAGCCTTTCATACTCGCCGGAAGGATCCCTCCTTTTATGAAGGCGAACATTTTCCCTCCACGGTCATACAACCTCATTTTCAATTTTTGCCAAAAAATTCGTGTTGTGCACGCCGACTTCTCGTACTGGTGAACGAGAACCCTCATACGGCAAGGTCAGAACCTTTCATACTCGACAGAAGGATCTCTCTTTTCGTGAACACGAACCTTTTCTCTCCGTCACACACCACTGGATAGTATGCGAATGGAAAAAAATAGAACCAAGCAGACAACAACACGACACACTCTTGATTTCGAATGATAAGCATTCCTACTTATGCGATCGCGCAAGACGCGGACCTGGTGGAGCAGGCGGTGCTGCTCGACTCCTACCGCTACGCTCGCGAGATCTGCCTTCCCTGCTGGCGGTACCACCAGTGGGCAGCGGAATTGGCGGCCGCCTACAAAGAGTGTGATGAGGCAGTGGACGAGGTGTCCGGTGAGACCGGCGACGAGGAGGACATCGTCGGATCCATCGAGTCTGCGCCCCGCCACCACAACCATGAAGCCAACACGTCTATGAGCGCCGCCGACAGCGAGGAAGAGTAGTGCATGATAGGTCGTCGTTGCTCGGGTCCCAAGAAGGCCATCGCTCCTCCTCTCCCGTTGACGCCAAGCTTGTTGGGCTGAGCATCATCATTCGATTAGTCGCTTGGCGGTGACGTGTAGGCGGCCGGCTTCGGAGGCAGAGTTTACAGAGGCGGAGCTGGAGAAAGCGAAGCTTCATTTTTTGGGCTCATGGCCGGAGATGGGGAAACTCGTATGCGGCTCCATAAATATGCATTAAAATGAGACAATACAAACTTCTCGAATGTCCTAAAAAATAAAAGGTCATAGCATGAGGGTCAACACTTTTTTTTGGAACCAATAGATAACATCACAAATTCCGGTTCTAATAATAAGGCATGGAAAAATGAACGGCCCCTCATGCTAGAATGCATTAGTCCTCTGATATACTTGCCGAAAACTTAGGCGACCAAGACAGGGCCACCGGTAAAGCTTTGGACGGCAGGGTGGTGTTGGTGTTTCGCAAAATCTCTGTTGCCCGCATAGCCTCTGTTGGGGGCACCCCCACTGGCCCCAGCGTCACCCCCGCGCCATCATTCGACCTGGGCGTCTTCACGCCTCCATGCAATAAATCAAAAGAACCTAGCTCATTGAGCATTGGTTCCATAAAGGATATCACGCGAAGAGACCTGTTTGGCGCTGGCAAATTCTCGACAAACACTCCTGGTAAACGGCCTTTCTGCTTTGAAACATATAGTACACAACAATTTTTTTGTATTTTCATATTATTAATAACATAGTTTTTTCGTTTGTATTCCCTCCGTTCCAAAATTATTGTCTTAGATTTGCCTAGATATGGATGTATCTCATACTAAAACGTGACTTGATACATCCGTATTTAGACAAATTTAAGACAAGAATTTTGGGACGGAGGGAGTACAAAAGAGGGTCGGCAAACCAGCTGACACCATCAGACCTACATACTTATGGAGTTGCATGATAGCTCAATTCTAAACCAAGAGCATGTCCCAATAAATTCTGCAAGCAGTGCCATGCTGCAGTTATCAACCATCATCATTTTTCAGGATTTTTGTATTTTCAGGATTTTTGTGCTACTATCAAGGTTCACAACCACGAGAAAGCGTAGTCAAGATATAATAGAGGGAAACTACAATGGAAACATAATGGATATCCATTCTTGGAGATCTTTGGACCGTCATCATTCCCGAAGCAAACATACTGTGAGCCATATCCGACCAACTTTTATCCGTTGAACTAGCACTTGAAATGGTCATCATCAACGGTGGTGAAAAGGTTGCCCATAGACACGTGAGCTCCAATAACTGACCTGTTGCAAGGAGATTGTAAGGCACACAACCAGACGTCTTTAAGCTGCTAGTATGCGCTGCAAAAGTCCTTTCTTACCTGAGTTGGTCTGCATCTGCACCAGTTTGAGAGATGCGTGATTTACTCTGTTCTTCGGCGGATGCATGCCAACGTCTCTTTCTTTAATCATCCCGCGGGTCATTACACACGATAAACGTATTTAATTCACCT